CGATGCTTGATCCTCAAGAGATCGTTCCAACGCGAGAATAGATACTGATCTTTTTCATGACTTGTTAGATTCGCGAATACACAACCCTTGTAGATCTTTTTGCACAACAAAAAACACATTCGCTAGGAGAGTTAAAGATTTTAGATTCTGTTACGAGTAAAACTTCTGAGTGAGACAACTTCGAACGGAAACGTCGGATCCGTCTTTGTTTAGAGAGAAACGACACGCTTGCTTTATTTTCTTAGAAAAACGTTAAACAAGTAGGTAAGGTAAGACAGGACAAGGCAATAAATTGGCATAAGCTACGATGAGAGAAATCCAAGCTAGAAAATCGGTCTTCGTCTCGGAAAGACTCAACATCGAAAGCCTCTTAAGAGAGTTTCCACGATGTCGCAGCTGTGAGTGATAAAATTATTTCTCTGTTGGCTCCTCGATGATGGCGTCGCCCGAATAAAACGACGAATCGAGAAACTCGTGACGGAACGCATACGTAAGATGAGAGAGAGAGAAAGAAAACGAACTGAAAGAAGAGAAGGAGGAAAAGGGAGGGGAGGTGAGTGATCGCGTAGGGAAAAACGCGTTAATTGAGGAGGCCGCAGGAAAGTGCGTCGTGGAGATAAACGGGCTGAGCGATAAAATTATTTCAAAGCCGGCTTAAATAGAGTAAATCGCGTGGTAGGTAGAAAAGAGAGTGAGGGAGAGGGGAGAAAGAAAACAGAAAGAGAAAGAGACATAGAAGGCGTCGAAATAAACGGCCCAAGTGCCAACTAACGGGGTAGATCTTGAGAGCTGGACGAAGTGAGTTAGAGAGTGAGAAAGAGRGAGAGAGAGAAAACTGAGTTGGTAGGGAAGCCGATAAATAACCACTGGTTTATTAGCAAGATAGACGAGAGGGTGAGGAGAGTGCGGTTAAATTAGCAAGAATATTAGTACGCGTTCGCGCCAGCGTTACTCTCACTCTCTCCTATTTTCTCTCTTTCTCATCGTATCGCGGATTTAACAGGCGCAAGCGACGGCTGCCTGTTTCCCCGAAGGAGAAAGCACGTAGCTTGCAAGCTTGCTTGCTTGCTACCGTGTGCTCGAAGAAGGGTGGGTTAGAACGGCGTAAGTAATAACTGGCGTAGATTGCTTGGAGGGAGTGTGGGTGTATGGGTACAATCAAGTAGAGAAGGCTACGACTTATCGGACGTTTCTTAATGATTTCGTTCCTCCTTTTAAACGATAAAAGTTATTCAGTTATATATTTAGAGCTTGCTAAGAAGAATTTTCACACTAAGGAACTTTTTCGTTAACGAATTTAACAGCTACGTGATTTAGAAACACTCGTGTGGAAAACTTTGGCGTGAGCCTTTTGAACAAGCTTTAAGAGAAACTTTGTTAGCATTTGGTAGGATCGAATAGTAAGAGAGGAAGAGAGAGGAGAATTGTTCCTTGCGATTCTTGAAGTACGTAGGGAACGTTTACGCGCTCGCTCGCGAGACTTTCTCCAAGAGAATTACAGAGCGGTAACAAGCTGGCAACGATTCTAACTACTGTCCGGGTCGTTGATATATGTGACGGAAAATTGTGGGCGAAAGGACGCCGAGGAATACCAGAGAAACGTTCAAGGAAAAAGGAAGAAGGAAATAACATTGGGTAGTGTTACTGCTACTAATGCTAGTGGAAGTGGTCCAGTGATCTTTTCTGTCACAATGAATTTCTTCGTATAAATAAAAATAAAATGAAAAAGTAGAGTAACGAATAATGTGCAAAGGATGAAAATAAACAACAAAAATCTTATTATTTAAGAATGATTTCATTTGTCTAGCGTATTCTAATTAGAAGAGGTTATTTCTAATCCTACGTCGTACTCTCATCGTTACCTAGCAGTCTCTTAATCGAGACGAGAAGGAACGCAAGAGAGCCCGGCTAGCAACTACGAGAGAAGCAAGCAAGCAAGCACCAACGAACCACGCGCTTGGTGCAACGGGCCACGCTCTAATTGCATTACGGAAACATGAGTTTCCCTCGGTGAAATATATCACGAAACTTATCGCGCCACGAAGAAATTGCCATGGTGCTTCGCATGCACTCTCCCTCCTCTCTTTCTCTCTCTCTCTCTCTCTCTCTCTCTCTCTTTCATTTCTCTCTCCGAAGCGCAAGCTTGGGATCCACCTACGCGTAAGCCCTCGTACCTGACCACCCACGCAACCGGTATATACCTTTTTCCAACCTGTCCTACGCGTCTACACCTTTTCTAATATTTCTTCTTAACCATTTAGATCAACCTTGAACCGAAGATAATTACAAAAAGCAACCGATCATATTGTTTTATTCGAAATTTTGGATCAAGTCCTAAAACACGAATATATTTCTTTATCGTGTGACGGAAAATGTCACGAGTTGCGGTACTAGAGCCAAGAAACGATTTAGACGACTAATGTAAGTGTAGAGAAGGATAAGAGGTTTGCGAGGAAACACCGAAGACGTCGGATACGAGACATTTGGAAAATACGAGCTAAGCGAAATCCATGGTAGGTTCCTCAACGAGGAAACAAGGGGTGGTGGTGGTTAAAGGGACGAAGAAACAAAAAGAAGAAAAGATCGTTCACTGTTTGCCAAAAATTTCAAATCGACGACTTTAGGGAGAGTTACTCTAACGCTTTTCCGTAATTGCGGAAAGAAGAGAAAACGAGGAACGAATGGCGGTCTGTGAAACGTGTGAAAAATTCGTTAAGTGTCTTTTGGCCCGTGCCTTCTTACCCGTGGACTTGATTTGTGCTCAATTACGCTCGTCGCGTACCCAACATTCCTTCTTTTCTTTTTCTGTAACTATTTTTTTTTATTCTACTCGTCCTCGTTCCCTCTTATTACTCTGAGAAACCGAAGTGCGGAATATTTTATTTATAAAATGGTACACGACGAACCCACCCGCGTCTACGTGGCGTCGTGGCGAAATAAGAAAATGGAAGGAGGAAGAGGAAGAATTTCACGAAGAAGGTGAAGGAAAGAGAAAGACGATGCAACATACTCGACGCGTCGACCGATTCGTTTCGCATTTTATATCCGCGCGTGAAATCGACCGCCCCCACTTTCATTCCTCTTCAGAAAGAGAGAGAGAGAGAGAGTTTTGCCAGTACTTTGGTGCTGATTCCTCTTTCGTTAGCACGATACGGACCGTAGCACTCGGATTATTTCGATCTTTGCTCCTGCTAAAGTTAGCCCAAGAGATTACCACGACGCGACATGCTTTCTCTCTCGTTTCAAGAGTAACAGAGATAGTAGAAAGGATAGGATAGAGTCCTTTCTTCTATACTAAGTGAGAGAGAGAGAGAGAGAGAGAGAGAGAGAGAGAGAGAGAGAGAGAGAAAGATGGTAAGTTGCGTTGCGTTGATTCTAAATATTCTCGCGAGTAAACAAAAGGGCTCGAGGTAATTCGGATACTGGTGCGCAGGTGCCACGCAAAAACATCTATCAAGATAGCCAAATATAGGACTAGAAGGAACACTAAAAGGAGGGTTGGTTGCTAAAGGGTTGTCTACGTTTCAGGATCAACTCGAAGAAACGGGGATTTCGTGAGACAGGAGTAACTAAGCTTATTATCTATCTCTTGTTATCTAATATCGAATACTTTGAAGCTTTTCTCATTTCTGTACTTTCTCATGATTCGTTACTGAACGATATATTTTAAATAGAGTCGTAAAATTTTAAAGTCGAGTGAAATTACGAACCAAGGAGCCTTATCCTTTAACAATCTTCAACGTAATCCTCATTTTCTGTTCTAAATTTTTTTCTTCTGCACGCATAAGTTCTCCAATAGAATCACGTATCGCAAAGATATGGTTATGTACAGATGAACAAAAAAAAGAATATGTAAAAAAAGTCGTTCGCGAGCACAAAGGTACCGAGTTTCGTAACTCGTTTCGCGTATCCTTCGGAGCTGCCTACGCTAACGACGTTTCGAACGTTTTCCTTCGGCTAAGAATGCACGTCTATACGGAGTGCATCGTATAACTTGATAACTCTTACTTATTTCAACGTAAAAAAGAAAAAATGAATGAGAGATAGACATGGGTAAAACGAAGAAGTTTATATCCGCGAGAACATCTCGCTAAGTTCGTTTCTTTTTTTCTTTTTTTTTTTTCCTCAAGAATGAAAATTTCTATGTAAAATCCGTTTAATGCTTTTATCGGCCGTAAAACTTTTATTACTAGGTACGAATAAACTTTTCCGCTTAGAAAGTAGGTATAAGTCGAAGGACACGCTACGAGAAACGCCTACGAACTCGCATGCACTCGAATAAAATAAAATAAAATAAAATAAATAATGAATAAAAGAGAGGAGTCAAAATAAAAGTAAATTCGGAAGGACTTCGGGAAAGATAAGAATAAAATAAGATAAAGATAAGTCCAACCAACCAAAAAAAAAAAGAAAAAAAAAGTTAAACTCGTGCACGGCAACATCAGTTCGATATGAACGCCCACCACCATGTGGGTTCTCAGGTCGTACTTTGTATTCGCGTGATTGGCGCGGTGAAATAATCAGCTTGTTGTCGAGCTTCGTGGCCGAGCGTGCACGGCTCGTTTCGTTTGATGTACGGCTGTAATTTCAGAGTGTCTGGAATTCGCGTATGACACGTTCGTCGTGCGTTGTATGATTTGAGTTTTGCCGCGGGATCCTTTTCAAATGTGTGTGAGAGAGAGAGAGAGAGAAAGGAAAAAAAAGGAAAAGGGGGAGACAAATTCTTTCCCTTCTTTCTTCTCCTTTAACTTGCGACACGCAGGGTCATAAGGAACGAAACGGTGAACGGCTTGCAAAGATAAGCTGAGTAGGAAAGCTTATCGTTGCATCGACTTGCCTGCTATCGTATCGATTATTATTATTATTATTATTATTATTATTATTATTATTATTATTATTATTATTATTTTTTATGTCATCTAAAAAACATTGATTATATACACACTAAAAATGAAAATATATGTAAAGTGATTTTCATAATTGAAATATTTGTCACTCACCAATTATTAACTTGAAGAATCGTCAACCCCGTATCCTGTGCAAGTTGCTTCTTCTGATCCTCCGAAGGGTACGGATGCTGGAAAAAAAAGAAAAGAAAATTCATGAATTTAGGTCAATGTCCGTGAAGTATTTTGTCGTCGAGAGAGAGAGAAAGATAAATCGTTAGCGTTACGAGGATAAAATGTTCATATGGTTCTCCTTAAGTTTCCAAACCGTTCTAACAACCTCCCCCTCTTGAAAACTCAGAGGAACGTTTTACGTTCGATCCGGACATTTAATGAACGCAACAAGGTAAGAATAAACGTTCCGTGAAGGCGCGCATCGCGCTATTTCGCGCGTCTACTCCGAGTGATTTACAGGGCACGTGTACGCGTTCTCTTTATTTTTCTCTTTCTCATTCTCTCTTCCTATCTTTTTCTTTCTCATATACGAGGACAATTTCTACCTACGCGAAAAGTGAAGGAAAGAAAGAGAAAGAACGTTTGCAAATGTCAGGACGCACCTGCGAAAATATTATTTATTACCAACTAACAACAACAACAACAACAATAACGACAACGATGAGAACGTTGACGATGATGAAAAAGGAAAACTGGAATGAAGGAAGAGAGAAACGGGAACACTTGAACGTTGTAGTTGTAGTCGTAGTAGTAGTAGTAGTAGTAGTAGTAGGATCCCATTCTTGGTTAGGACAAGACAGGACGCCCCAAGTTTTATCACGTTGTTGCATCGGTGCAGATGCACGCTTCCGCGCTTCACCTTGTTATGTACTGACAAGATCGTACTCTACTTCTTTCGTATTTTCTTTAGATTAGAGAGAAAGAGAGAGAGAGAGAGAGAGAGAGAGAAACGGAAGAAATTTTACGAGACAGCGACGTTAAGTTATGAAGAGTTAGGTGACACAGACATATGTAGAACGTTTCAAGACTTTCCTAATCGTAATTTACTAAAGTCTAAATAAAGTATTTCAAATTTTAACTTATTTTATACGAACTTATTTTCAGATTGTTATGAACAATTTTCTTTAACAAAATTATAATTTGTTGATTGTAATTGACCCTTTCAGTGCTGAATAATTTTATCTAAAATGTTTTGTAGGAACAGAATAATTTATTATTAACCAAATTTTATTAATAAATTATATTTAATAATAAATTTTATTAAATAATATTATAAATAATTTAAATAATATTTAATAAAATTATAAATATTAATATTTCTATATAATATATATGTGATTATATAATATTTTTTACATTAATATTAACAAACACATTTATGCATCTACAGACCACTCTGGTAATTTTTTCCAAACGCATATATGCATCCATAACATTCTAAGGGCTAAATTATTTTTCTTGATAATTATTACAATATTATATTATCCATGTTAAAAAGAAAAAAAAGAAAATGAAACGAGAGAATGAGAAAAGTTTGTAAAGATGGGATGAAAAGAGAGTTTCAGGAAGCAGGTCGAAGTCACGGTTGAAACGAAAGCGAGTGGTGTCGCGAGTTTACGGTGAAATAGGAGGTGGATGGATGAGGGATGGCCTACTCGGATATATTCCATCGTTCTTGCGGCAGGGCTCCATAAATTCGTGTATAAATCTGGCCGTTCTCGTGCGGTGAAGTTACTGCGGGCATTAATTTTGCACTTGCGGCCGGCCGTAAGCGCGTCTTTCGAACGTTCTTGCTCGCGGGTGACGGCCAAGAAGACGCGTATCTACTTATACACGTTCACTCACACACATATTTAGGTATGTAGATACGAAGACTTAGTGCGATAGCTCGGAAAAAAGAGAGAACGACTTTTGCACGCGCGCCTTCACGTCAAACTACGCCGAAAGCTATCCTCTTATTCATTTTCCCTTTCTGTCTTCCTTCGTTTAAAACACTTCTCTTTCTATTTATGTTATATACACGAGACGACATTAACCTTCCACGTACCTCCACGTACGATTCAAGGACGAAAACTTTTCCGATATTTCAATTAATTAAAAAATTCATTTTTCAAAAAAAAAATACGAAATTGAAAATTTCATTAAAGATATTATTATTATTATATTTAAACAAATAAGATTCAAGACGAGATTACATCTCCATTCGAAGTACACGTATTCGCGTCAACGGCCCTTTAAAAGGGAACATAAAGGTAACCTTAACCGCATCGAGTGGTGCAACGAAACGCGCCACGGATCGGAAGCAATACACGTGTACGCATGTATACGTGTGAGAAACATACATACACATACATAAAAATATTCATGTAGATATGAACGTAGGTAGGAGAGAACGAAGGGTATCTCGTTTACGCAGAAAAGCAACGCGAGAGAGCGTGTAACGCAAGCGGCCGAACCGCATCATATTTTTACATAATTAGCACGTGGTGCTCGTGGTATTAGGTTGCCCCGTCGTTACTTTTTGTCGAGGCCTGCGGTATTTTTGGAAACCGCCGTGGGCCTCGACGCACCCCATCCCTCTCTCTCTTAAACTTTCTCTCTTTCTCTCGGATCCTGGTATATCATGTTTCTTGGAGGCGAGCCATACCGTACATCGTACACTACGGGAACGTGGTGGCTCTATACCCTCTTCCACAGCACCACCCGAAAAGCCCATTGTGAGTCGGCTACGTGTATACGCGATCCGAGCGATTCTTATCCTAATTAAATCGGCGGAGTGCATTGTCTGGGCGTAGAATTTCTATCGGATCTCCTTTCTCTCTCTTTCTCTCACTCATTCACTCACTCACTCACTCACTCACTCACTCACTTTACCGAGCGTATATACATATGTATTTATATACCATATACTACTTCTCTATAGGTGCAGGAAGGAAAGTGAGATAGAGATAGAAAGAGAGAGTAGTATCACGAAGAGGAGGATCGAGAAACCTGGTGTCGTAAAGTACCTGCTATCGGTAACGGTACCAATGGAGAGAACCACCCCTTTTGCTCTTTCCTTTCGAAAACACACGAAGCTTTGGTTAAAGAATTGTTTTCTTTGTTTTCAGAACAAGAGAGAGAATGAAATAGAGAGAAAAAAAATGAAAGAAAGAAAAAGCTTGGTGTATGCATAAAACAATCAAGATAATTGTTGATGCTTCGTGGGGTTTGCCTGTTTTCCATTTTCCTCTCCACCACACCTTTTACCCCTAGAGAACTCAGTAGAATGACGTTGGAAGGGACGAGAAAGAGATAGAGAGAGAGAGAGAGAGAGAGGGAACGTAGAAGCTATCCAATTACATTGAAAACAATAGTCTTAAGTGCTCACAGCGCGGAGGTCCGTTCTGGGCCACCCTAGATCCCTACACCATCGGTCCCTACCACCCCTGTTTATTCTCTCTCTCATTCTCATTCTCATTCTCATTCTATTCTACTATGTGTGTACCAATGTGACGTATTATTCTCGATAGCGTACGAATATGATCGTAAAAATCTATCTAACGTTTTCATCAGAATATAAATTTCTATATCTACATGAGGGGTTAAAAGGTTACGAATTAAAATCCTATTTGAATGTTAATTCAACGAGACAATTGCGATCACTTTGGAAATCGTAGAATAAAGATACCATTGGTGGAATAAAGTTCTTGGAATAAATGCGATCTCTTCTCGAGCGAGAGGATCACCGGTAGCTATGTAAAAGGAAGATCGTAGAAAGAAAGAGATAGATAGAGAGATAGAGAGAATGAGGGAAAATAAAACGAGAGGATGAGAATACACGCAGAAGAAGACGAGGGGCAGACGGTCTAGTCGGTGGCCAAACAAGCGATAAAATGAAAATGAGCGGTAAAAAGACAATATGAAAACCATTTGGGCTCTTCTTTTTCTCTCTCTCTTGTACTACTCTAGTCGAGTTGGGGGTGGGAACAAGCGAGGCGGAAGCAAGGCTAAGTGTGTAAATGAGTCCGTAGTTTAGCCCGATTGCCTCGAGACGACCCTTTTTCGCGGTACGCTATCCTCATCCACTTTGCTTCTACACTCTACCCCCCCCCCGAGATAACAGCTACGCAATCGGAATACTTTTGCTCTTTCTTCTTATACTAAGAACAACCGTTCTAGACGATTTCTAGACGATTTAAAAGACAATGGAATCGTTTGAGAAATGAGTTGGAATCAGGAAGAAATCATTTATTTACCTAAACAAATGATTCTATTTATTATCAACTTGAAAAAAAGATGAATGTTTCTTAAATTCGTATCATATTTTCCAAATGATTATGTAACTTAAATATAGTCAAACTTTGGATTTCATATAACGTGGTTTAAAAGTGTTCAACAAGATTAGACTAAAATTGTGATTTGATTAACGAGCGATGTCTTACGAATAAGCTCATCGTCTGCCAAGTAGTAAGTAAAGTGTGGATTAACTTGTTTAAATTTTATTTATTATTTTCTATTCTAAATTATTGTGAAAGGAAATCTCTACGATTTTCCATGATGTATTTCTAATGACGAGATTAATTTTGATGTAATGATTTGCATTACGATTCCATTGTATCATATTGTTTTATTATTCAATACTAGTTGAAGATTATATTTCGAAGGGATCATTTTCCCGAGATATAGGGAATTTTTGTTACTAAACTCTAACGACTTGGAATCGATCTCTAGGGCGGAAAGGGTGTCCCCGCGTGTCGTTGGATGACAATTTGCTGGCTCAAACGAACGCGTGCTGCGTCAGGTCGTCGATGTCGAATGGGCGGGTGCAACGTAGGACCACCGATGTGTCTCTCCTCGTGTCCTTCGTCCAGTGTCGTTTTCGAATCCCCCTACGGTAACCAGGCATCTCGTTGCCGAATGACACGTCGATGACGACCGTTGCTGACTCCGACTAACGAGCGGGGCGTTGGGGGCGTGGGACCCGAGCAGAGATCGCGCCTCGTCATCACGCTCCTCCGACCACGTTCGCGTCCTCATCCTCATCCTCATTCTATTCCACCACCTTTTCCATCGATCCTGACCATGTTTCTATCGAGAGTTACACCAACAACAACCGTCCTTCTTCCTACTTTCCCTTACTCTAGACTATCCTCTGCCCCCTCACTTCCATCTTCCCTTCCTCCTACTCAATAAA